AATTCCTATTCCAAAAGTTGTTTTTCTAGGTAATTTTAGGGCGTAGAATTGCAATTTTGGCATATCAGAGCGTTTTTAGAGAAAAAAGATAAACTTGACTAGATTTTAGTGGCTTTTATGTCAGTTTTGATATATATTGATTTATCGTAGCAAAGCTTTTTTTTGATCCAATTCAATTCAAACAATACCTCGCGGGTTTGAATAGAAAAAAAGAAAGAGAAGATCTTTTTTTGTTTGCACGTTTCGTCTCTTCGTTTCATTCCACAACCACGCGAATTCTTTTGTGAGGCTTTTTGAAACATTATCCTTTGAATGGATATAAATTTTAAATATTTTAAGTAAAGATTGATTTGTTCTTATTTATTTTGATCTCTTCATTGGTAAAATCTTTCAAAATAAAGATGATAACATCTTCCAAAATAAAGCCGCTAGTTTGCAATCAAATTTTTAATTTTCAAAAAGCTTTAGAATTTTATTTTTATTTATTTTTAAGACAATTTTATCAAGGTAAACTTTTAAAGTTTTTTGATTAATTGATTTGTTTTGATCAATTGTACTTTGTTTACAAGTTGCGCGTTTGCCTGAACTTATTCAAAACTTTGAACCCTTTCAGCGCCTTCTTCTTTACCATTCACAATGAAATTGATTTTACTTCAGCTCTTGATTTGAATTTTTGAAATTGAATTTTTACTTCAGCTTTTACTCCAGAGATTGATTTTACTCCAGCTTTTATTCCAGAAATTGATTCTACTCCAGCTTTTATTCCAGAGATTGATTTACCCAGCTTACTCAGGGATTATTCTACCAGCTTTATTCAGATTGATTTTACCCAGCTTTACCAAATTATTTTCTCCAGCTTTTATTCCAGAAATTGATTCTACTCCAGCTTTTATTCCAGAGATTGATTTTACTCCAGCTTTTACTCCAGAAATTGATTCTACTCCAGCTTTTACTCCAGCTTTTACTCTAGAGATTGATTTTACTCCAGCTCCAGCTCAGATTTGAATCCTTGTAACTTGTTTTTATATCATCTCAAAAATGCTTTAAAGAAAAACAGCTATTAGTACACTAGTATAAAAAAAAAGTTATTAGCATTATTAGCTTATTGCAAAATCTAAATAGTTACATTCATGAGGGAAAATTGGAAAGCAATGAGATGGATGGATGGATGGATTGAAGGGAAGATGTGTGTTTGTCGAATGATTCACTCTGCCGAATGTGTTCACCAGCCGATTGAACCCTTTCCCCCCTTGCCTGTCATCCGAACGACTTCACCCCCAAATACCCATCAAAGGCCAAATCAGAAAAAAGGGAATCAAAAGAATAACTATGGCTTTGAAAAAACGAAAGAGTGGGAGTGCCATTGCGATCTCTCCTTTTCCCTTTTCCTTTCCTTTTCTTTTCAACGGACTTTCTTGTGTGTCCTTATCACACCTTTTCTTGTCGAGTCATGCACCTTCGGAAAACCGTTTCTGATTTTTTAGTCTGAACGCTTTTCATAGTAGCTTCTTCATTTCTGATGATTTTACAGAAATTTGTCTGAGTCATTAAAAGAGTGATGCGTGCCCTTTGTGCACTAGATTCTTGAGCATATCTCATGGCTCTTTTTTTTAAAACACAGTCCTTTTTTTCTAAAGTTTCTCTATTATCTGTATTCTTTTAGCACTTTACAATTATTCCCTCACAACTCTTACATACAAACTACCAAAGCAAAGCAAAGTCAAAGCTTAAGCTTAACTACATTGCTATTGGTTTATTAACTTAATTTTTCGAAAATCATAGCTCAAATATAGCAGTTTACGGCAGTTTAAAGTATCAAAAATAGGAAAATAACCGTAAAGTACTGTAGCTACTGATCATTCATCATTTGATAAGTCTACCACTGTCCATTTATATTATTCTTAAACTTTTTCATTGTTCTTAAACTTTTGCTTTTATTCTGAAACTATAGTCAAAGTATGTCTTCTCCCTAAACATTATTGTATTATTGTATAGCTTTGATTTCTTAATAGTAGCTGTTGCTTTCCTGTCTTGATGTTTGTAGTGATTATTGTTGGTTTAGATATAATCTTTATTACAACGATAATAGTTGGTTCAGTGGTTTGAGATTGGGAGGGTAGAGACACTCCACGGCACACGTCGGCAGCTCGTTCACATTGCTTTTTCAACGGAACTCAGGCGTTGGTCTCGCACATAGGTGGCTAGCTGGCCATTTCCATACGTGGCGATCTCGATCACGAGATCGTCACGACAATTATACTCATTTTAAAATGATCTATCGATAACATGAAGAATATCCCAAAGTATTGTCAAATCTGCTGTCAGCAGTTTTTTGATTTTAAATCTTTTGATTAATCGAAATATTCCAAGTCTAAAATCAGCTTTCGAAATCAGCTCTAAATCTTACTTTTGTAAAGATCCCTCGCCATTTTTCTAGAAGCCATAGATTCAAAAAGAAAGCTGAGATGAAAGAATTGCACCGCAAAAAGAGTTTTCATTTTTTCTATTATTTCATCCACAAATTCCTCTTTTCTTCTTTTCTTCGAATATCTCGCAGCAACGCGAAAGCAGTAGCCCTGAACTACCATAATTAACTCTCTATTTGCTTCTTACAATTTCTACAATTTAAATTTCCTTAAAGCTATAACATATTCAATGATGAATCCTAAAAAGAAACCCGCTAAATCCAAGAAAAACTTAAAAATCTCTTCTGCTAAACCGAAAAAGATATCATTGATTGGAAAGGTGACGAAGGTGAAGAAGAATCGAATGAAGATGCAATCTTCTGTTCTAAAGCCAACGATTGCTTCAACTTTGAAAACTGCTGAGGAAAAGAAGAAAAGAAGAAAACCAGAAAAAGAAGAAAAGGGGAAAAAGAAAACGAAAAAGACAAAAATATTGAAGGTGAAATCGATAAATGCAAAAGTGAATAGCCCATCGATTGAAATGACACAAAGTATTGGAGAGAAGATTATTGAGGCGAAGAATGAAATGAACAATGAAGCTGTAAAAGCAGGTAAAGCGGGGATCAAATAAGCTCAATCACTGGGCAAGTGGCTTTCTGAGTAGCTTTTGAAGACGTCAATCAGATCGGCGGAGATTTTTGAACTCACTTTTGCAAGTGCTAGTTTGAAAGCTTTGTTCATTACTTTAAATCAAAGCAATACAATTGATTTTTTTTTTTGATCAATTGTATTTTGTTTACAAGTTGCGCGTTTGCCTGAACTTTTCCAAAACTTTGAACCCCTTCAACACCTTCTTCTGTGTTGAAGTTCTTCTGTTGTTCTTCTGTTGTTCTTCTTTACCATTAAAGCATTCGTGAATATTGTTTTCTTATTTGAAAACTATATTTCTATAAATATTCACTTATTTCACTAACACTTTACCTTTTCACAAAACTGTTTGCAACTCATTTTTCGTGTTTGACAGTGAAAGCTCAAAAAAGAAAAGTCGAGTCTTTTTTTCTCTCTTTTTGACACTCTTTCTTCACACAATTCTCTCAACGATGAAAAGCCTTTTTTTGGTGAAAAATTCATTTCCCTTGCTATTCCCTTGCTATCATATTTAAAATTTCTAAAATTTTATCTATAACTTTTATCTATATCTATAATCTTAAGCTTTTCATTAAGCTTTTTCTGCAAATGCATTTATTACGAAACTTTCTCATTTTTCTCAATTCCCAAACCACGTCACGAAAAATTGAGTGCCCATGCCGAAATTGATTTCCCCCTCAAACAGAAAGCTTCGTGGTTATTGACTGTTCAAATTTTTCCTCAAAAAGCCATGAAAAACTGTGTTTTATATGGAAAAAGGTGTGATTTGTGTTGTTGTGTGAGTAGCCAACAAGTGAACCTTTCCTCCTTTTTCTCAATTTTCTTGTATTTGTTTTCCTCCTGAAAGTGTGTCTGAGTGAAGTGGAGAATTGAAGAAATCAACCAGGGAAAATGGGTTAAATGATTTGAATGAACTGAAATCGTTTCGCCTGTTGTATTGGGGGAAATTGTTAAGAAAAATATAAATATTCTAACCGTAGACCATTGCTTCTGGAGTCTTACTGTACCTTTTCTCTAAGGCATTTTCTAAAACTACCCTGACCGTGCTTCGAAAATCTACGGTTGATATGCGTCATTCGGATTCAAGAGATATTTTCTATCATCTCATTTTCAGCGGTCGTAGCTCCGGCTCGTGACACGCCATCAGCCACTCTACCGGGCACTCCACAAGAAAAAGGTATGCTTAAAAGGATTGTTTCTTAGTCAAGTTCGAGATGTAGTTTGACTTCAAGTCAAGACAAATTTCATTTCAGTCAAATCAGATCAATTCGAATTCTATTTTGAGTATGTCTCCTTTTCTGGAAAAAAAGTGATCGCATTTTCTGGAAAAGAATGATTGCATTTGATTATTTCAGAAAAAAATCCACTAGGAAACCTACCTTAAATACTGTAATAGTACCCCACCCCCATTAATGACGGTGCGGAGTGTTGCGTAGTCTAGCTTTGAACGAGTTTTTCTCGACACTGGTTCATGCTACAATGCGCGCTTAGGTATCAAAAAATAGCCCTGAATTTCAGCTATTTTTTGATACCAAAGACGCATTTTTTGAAAGTACGGGCGCTTTGAAAAAAATGAAATACTAAAAACTTTTGCAACTACGCGACTGTACGAGGGAGGTGGGGTACTATTACAGTATTTACGGTCGTCAATTTCGAGCCTGATCTACTTAAAAATAGCCCAAGCTAAGAAAAAGTGAAACTTTCTTAGTAGTAGATGAAAACTAGGAGTTTAATAAAACAAGATTGCAAGAAGAAGAAAACAATTTCAGGGAATCAATCCACAATTCTCATCGACGAGCGCTACTGGTGAAGGAAAGAAGAAAAGTGGAAAGGGTTGGAGGTGGAGGGAAATGTTTGGAGGATTTTTGGATCGATTAAGAGGGAAAAATGGTGAATCGATACAAGGAAAAGAAGAAAGACACTTGAAAGCGAATGATTCCGCTTACAATGCACAGTTCAAGTATACGGTTGGTTTAAGAGTTTGTTTAGTTGAAGAGATGATCTCAATTCTTTTCAGGACAACTATATCAAGACGTCAAAGTACAATTTGTTGACGTTTCTCCCACAGAATCTCTTTGAGCAATTCACGAGAATCGCTAATTTTTACTTTTTAGTGCTTATGATCTTACAAGTAAGACAACAAAAAGTTGCCTTTATTTTCAATTTTTTTTAGTTTATTCCTGTAATTTCATCAATATCTTGGTACACGACAGCCATTCCACTTATATTTGTATTGGCTGTTTCAGCTGCGAAAGATGGATATGATGATGTGGTGAGGAAAAGTTAAGATTATAGCTCCGCCCGCTTTTAGCAATCCAACTTTGAGCCATTATCAATTTACCATTAAAAATCCAACTTTCAGCTCTAATTTCTTGGGATTAGGCTGTTCAATTTAAATAGTTTTTATAAAAATTAATAGAGAAAGACTTGGCTGCTTAAATTTTTCTAGAAAATGGGTCTCAATACAACGAAAGAGATATATGCTTTTTTTTTAAATCCTAGCTTAGCTCTAGCCCCTAGCTCAGCTAATTTAAGGTCTTTTTTTTTTATAATTTTTAATTTTTTTCCAAAATTTTCCCCCCCCTTTTGGGTGGGCTTTGTTTGTTCTCTTTCCTCTTTTTCATACCCGGCCATGCCTGACTTTTTTCTTTGGAATTTGGGAACCAACGATATCAAGAATATTTAAATTGAAAAGCCCAACACGAAGAAATTAGAGCTTAAAGTTAGATTGGCAACGGGAAAAGGGGTGGGGTGCGTATGAGATGTTCTATAACTTTTTTAAAGCGTCTACCTGACGAGTTCAGGTACTTTTTTGGTTTGCAGCAGATCTCGGACAAGATTATGGTAGTTCTTTAGTTTAGAAAAGATATTATTTAAGAGGAAAGGTGACCTATAAAAAAGAAATGCAATTGCCATTAACAATCCAACTTTCAGCTCTAATTTCTTGGGATTAGGCTGTTCAATTTAAATAGTTTTTATAAAAATCAATAGAGAAAGACTTGGCTCATCTAACGATATCAAGAATATTTAAATTGAAAAGCCCAACACCAAGAAATTTGAGCTTAAAGTTAGATTGCTAATTGGAAAAGGGGTGGAGCGCGTCCGTTAGCGAAAAGTTAACGAAGTTTAACAAGTTATCGAGTACTGATAGCTGATATGATTTTTCAGCAACGACACATTTCCGATCGACAAGTGAACAATCGGAAATCGTATGTGGTTAGAGGTGTGTTTTGAATAGAAAACTTTCGATTTTGAATCTCTCTGAAGATTGGCTAGATAATTTTAGACTCACTTTTCTAAATCCATATTATCTTTAAATAAATAAGATGAGTTTGTTTTAGGCGGTCGCTTGGTGGAAGAACCGTGGCACAATGTGAAAGTCGGTGATGTGATTAGAATGATGAGCAATCAATTTGTTGCGGTTCGTTTTTTGTTTTGCTTTCAAAATATGTTTCTCAAGAAAATTGTTTTTTCTAAAATATGTCAGCTTTTGGAAAGTATCGTAATCTTGTCTCTAATTTTATTCAGTCTAGCTGTAGACTGGATAGATTGGAGAGAATATAGCTTGAATAGATTGGTAAAAACTTGAAACAAGATTACGGTAAGTTTGAGACAAGATTGTGGTAGGTTAGGTAGGAAAGATTATGGTGGGTTTAAGAGAAGGTTATGGTAGCTTAGGTAGGAAAGATGATGGTAAGTTTGAGGCAAGATTACGGCAGGTTAGGTAGGAAAGATTATGGTAAGCTTGAGACAAGATTATGTTATGGTAAGTTTGAGGACAAGATTACGGTAGGTTAGGTAGGGAAAGTTTATGGTAAGTTTGAGACAAGATTATGGTAGCTTAGGTCGGAAAGATTATGGTAAGTAGACATGCTTAGTCAAGAGGAATCAAGACTTTAAAATAAAGAGAATAAAGGGTAAAATAAACAAATTTTAGGCTGATCTTTTTTGTCGTTTCTTCCTCAGAACCCCATGGAATTTGTTATATCGAAACAAAAGAATTAGATGGGGAAACGAATCTGAAAACGAGAGGCGCAATCCCGGAAACGGCTGAAATGGGCGATGATTTAGATCAAATTAGCGCTTTCAATGGTTTTGACTCACTTTTCAAAAAAGCAAATATCAAGATTCTACAGGGGAAATCGTTTGCGAGGCACCGAACAATAAATTGGATCGATTTCAAGGGCAATTGATTTGGCAACAAAAGACTTTTCCCATCACAAATGATCAAATTCTTCTTCGAGGCTGTATTTTTGAAGAATACTAGATGGTGAATTGAAAAATTGAAACTTTCATTAAAAAAAAACTCTTCAGGTGTTATGGTGTGGTTGTGTTCGCTGGCAAAGACACCAAATTGATGATGAACTCAGGAAAGACGAAATTCAAGAGAACGAGTCTTGATCGATTCCTCAATGTGCTCATTCTTGGGGTGATCGCGATCTACTTTATTTCTACTAAATCAGATTTTAGATTGTTCTTTTATTACTTGCAATGTGCCTTATTTGTACAATTCTTTGCGGTGTTTGGGAGTGGACAACTGGACGGTTTTTCACGATTTATCTCCCTTGGGATAGCACGATTCCTGGATGGGATGATCAAGATAAAGTACTACCATAGCAATTCTCGTTATCGATGATTCTACACTAACTAATTAGTTCTAGACAAACAGGCCAAGGCAAGGCTGACCCGAGTAGTTTGGCTCACTATCAGAACCAGATCGAGAAGGCTGACCAGAACCAGAAGTATTGGTTTTAGAGCTGGCTAGAGTTCTGGTTCTGGTTTTGATCTGACCGGATCTCTGGCTCATCCCTTCTCTTTCTGTCAAGTTATAAACTGAGGCTTTTACCGCACAAATTGCCCACAAATTGCTTTGTTTCTATCAAATTGCCAAGATCATATAATTTATATTTCGAATATGTTAATGCTAACTTTCAATCTCAGGGCGGAAAACAAATCTCAGTGATCTCATTTCTGATGTTCTTTTCGTATATCATCTTGCTCAATACATTAGTGCCAATTTCGTTATATGTCAGGTAAACAAAAAAAAACATTTGATATATAATTCAAAAAAAGCCTTACTTTAGTGTGGAAGTGATTCGATTTATCCATTCATTTTGGATAAACAACGATAAGGAAATGTTTTATGAGAATGGAGAGAACAGTGTCTCGGCGAGAGCACAATCGACAACGCTGAATGAAGAATTGGGACAAGTTTGGCGAAAAAAGGAAACACTCAAATGAATTCTCTAGGTTCAATACGTGTTTTCGGATAAAACGGGTACTTTAACGAGGAATATAATGACATTCAATAAGTGTACGATAAATGGAGTGCGATATGGAGATGCGATTGATTCAAGAGGGAATTATTTGGATATCACTGAGGTGAGTGCGTTAGAATCCTATTTACGTGCGGTTTAAAGAGACTGGCGCGAAAAGGGCGCGACGCGCTTTCTAAAGCGTGGATACGATACCGTACCCCACACAAAAATTCCTCTTTTGCCATTCATTTTCGTTTTTCGGCATTCGTCAATGTTGTCAGGCTTTTATGCCGAGTTCCGTTAAGTTTTTCCCTTTCGTAAAATCCATTATGTTCTTGTAGCGCGTTTACTCCCTCTCCCCTCATTCTTTCCTTTCTTTTTATATTCTTTCGACCATGTTTCCTGTTTAGATTTTCTAAAATGGTTCTGTTTCGTTTCTCTCGGCTTCCTTCTACTCCATTGTCTTCGAATCTTTTTGTACATGCTGTATAAACTGAACTTAGCCAATTCCGGCTAAATTGAACTTTACGGTCCAAAAGCTCAAAATTAACAGTGTAATTTTTTGGCTCTCCTTATTATGTTTGTGTTTTTTTGTGTGCATAGCGAAGCATTATAAATACTATTTTAACAAAATTAAGTCATTTTGAATCTGAACCGTAAAGTTCAATCTTAGGGGTGAACTTTATGGTCAAAACAGTAATAATAAGCAAAAAGTCGATTTTTTTGGTCTACAAATTTTTCCCCCATTATTTTTGTCTTTTTTTATGCATCACTAAGCATGAAAAATACTATTTAAAAGAAATGAAATAATTTTGGCTCTGGACCGTAAAGTTCAATTTAGCCCCAATTCCTTTTAACTAAAACGCAAATCTAAATAATCTCCCACAGCGCGATCTTCTTGTTATTTCGACTTCGGTTCAAATTATTTTAGAGGGTTCTTAAAGGTGCAAGGTAAGAGAATTAGTTACTAACTAGTGCTTGACTTGATTTCTTTTCAAAACTTTCTTTCGAAATCTGCAGTAATCTTGGCTGTTTTTATCCAATCTATCCACTTTTGTTTGATTCAAAGAATTTTTCAGACAACTCCATCCGTCGATTTCTCGTGGAATTCCGATTACGAGCCGGAGTTCAAATTCTACGATTGGAATTTATTGGACGCGTGTCGTAAAGGAACCTTTGAAGTGACCGAATTCTTTCGATTACTCGCTTTATGTCATACAGTGATGCCCGAAAGGGATAATGGAAGGCTCGTCTATCAGGTTTGATTTAAATAAAAGAACTACAGATATCAAGCTGATGCTCAAAAAGCACAACTCTTGTCTTTAATTGTAAGCTATCCATCTAAACAAAGCACTTTTGACCTCAAAAATCTCAATTTTAGGCTCAATCCCCTGACGAAGCCGCCCTAACATCCGCGGCTCGCAATTTCGGTTTTGTTTTTCGGAGTCGAACCCCTCAATCGATCACCATCAGTTTGAATGGAGTTGAAGAGGTTAGAAATTGAATTTTTCTTAAATAAACCCTTCCTAGGTCTACGAACTCTTGTGTATTCTCGATTTCAACAACGATCGAAAGCGGATGTCGGTCATCACGCGAAACAGTCAAAACAAGATCCGACTTTATTGTAAAGGAGCCGATATGATGGTCATGGCTAGGTATTGATATTGGAAAAGATATTTGAGTTCAGGATTTAATCCGAATTTTATTTAGATTGAGTCCTCGACTTCTCCTCTCCTTTTGGACGCCACAAATCAGCATTTGGCCGATTTTGCGGCGATTGGATTGCGAACACTTTGTCTGGCTTATAAAGATATCGATAATGCTGCTTTTGATGATTGGATGGTAAAAAAAATTGAACTCTTTGAAAAAAGATAACTTTTACAGAACAGACAGCAGAGAGGCGGCTGTTGATATGTACAATCGAGATGAGAAATTGGACGCATTGTATGAGGAAATGGAGAGAAGTAAGGGGAAATTGATGGTTGATGAATGGAATAGATATTATATTTGGATAATTTATTATATTATTCAGATCTAACTTTACTGGGTGCGACTGCGATCGAGGATAAACTGCAAGACGGAGTTCCTGAAGCAATCGCTCGACTAGCTGCAGCGAATATCAAGATCTGGGTGCTCACCGGAGATAAAACTGTAAGAAACTATTGTATTATAAAAATAGTAGTGTCTATAAAGGAGCAGTGTCTGTTCGTCCGTCTGTACGTAATCTCAGCCGACTTTGGACCAAAAAGCTAAAATTTTTAAAAAGTCAAAATGAAGTGGCACTACGGGTGGTCGAACCCGAATCAAGCGCCGTAGACAAGCGCGCCGACTGCGCCACGGCGACGAAAAAATGCGTGCCATCAATATCGCCCAAAACATCCAACCAGAAAAATTTTCGGCTGGTTATTTGATAGTTTTACTAATACCCAATGCTTTAAATGATATTCAGTTAGAGATAAAATTTGAAAAATAAACTTCAGGAAACAGCCATCAACATTGCCTATTCTTGTCACCTGTTGACTGATGATATGAGCGAGATTATGGTCATTGATGGGTGAGTGAAAAAGCTTTGCTTTCTTTTTGGATACTTGTCGTTTTTTGGTACATGTGTTTTTACATTTGTATCAAAAATTAAAACTCCAATTAAGGTGTAAATGTAAATTTAGCTTTATTTTTAGACATAGCGAACAAGAGGTGGATGTCCAACTCAGAGACACATGGAGGGCATTTGATGCGGCCCTGGCTGCGGTACGGTCTAAATCAGTTTCACTACCAAATATTGTGTCAGCACTAGACCTAGGAATTTTCGGTGTGCACGCCAATAGGTGTACGACGGAAAAATGGCAGATCTTGACTTGGCAGATTTCACTCAAAACTTTTTGATATCAATTGACGCAGAATTGAATTTTTTATCGATTGAAATTAAACACAAAAGATTTGAGTGAAATTGACCAAGATATAGCATTTTTCCGTTGAACATTTATTTGACGTTCACACCGAAAATTCCCAGTTCTAGTCAGCACGTAGTCATAGAAAACTTAGTAGTTTACCAAACTTTCGAAAACCCTTTTCCTTTTGAACTAATGATTTCGCAAGTGTTTGTCGAATGCATGTGCGTGTGATTAGAGTGTAATCTCTTCAAATAAGGTCTTTACTAAAAGTGTCAATTCTCGAAAGTACCGTAAACCTGAATCAGGTAGGCATTCCAATGCATCTCCAGCTACGGTAACCCAGTCTAGATCCTAATCGTTATAGATATTTGGTGATCCTATCTCCAAGTTAGTTATGGTTACAGTAATCTTTACTACAGCAGTCGCAAAGGTTACTGTAACGGGTTACGGTAGCCAAGTCATGCTTGAAAGTATCTACCCGAATCTAAAAGTTGACATGTTTTACGAAACACCTTATTTGGCAGGAATACCCCTCAAGTGATGGTGAAGGTGATTGCTCCTTCTCAAAGTTTTGCTTGCAAAAATTTTTACGATTTTCTTCTCACCGAAATTCCCAAGCATTGGCTGATCTCTAAGAAAACTTTCACAATTTTCTCTTTTCAAAATTCCCAAGCATTTGCTGATGCTCAAACTTTCAACTTTCAAACTTTCAAACTTTCAAAAACTGTTGTGTTTGTTTGAAGACACGAACGGCTCGTTTCGGATGCACGACAGCCGTCGAGAGATACATTGATGAGATCATCAATTATGTGAGAGAAATCGAGAAGATAAAGGATGAAAAGAAGAATTTATCGACGAGCATCATCGATCGACGAGAATATCGCCCAATCGAACATTTATCGGTGTGTCTGTAGAGAGATCTCTACCATATTTTCTTCACTACAAAAGGAGGCTACAAATTTTGCGAGTTACCAAGCCTTGTTCATTCACAAACATCCCACCGCATTTTTATCACACACTTGCACTTACTAAATTGCTTCAAAAAAAAATATTTTGAACAATAGGACTCATTTTGGAATTGATTCAAAAAATTGATAATGCTAAACTTTTTTGGATTTTCATTTTTATTCGATTTGGATTCGATTCAAAATGAGTTCTTTGCATTGAAAGTTGAAAATCTTTTCTTTACAGAAAGCTCGTCCACCAACGGCTAGCGCGCGGATGCCTGAAAGATTTGATATTGAGACAATTCATGAAGAAGGAGAGTACGCAAATAACCAGAATGGAACACAATCAGCGAACAGAGGTTTGAAATGAAATTTTCTTTTTATTTGAAATTGAAATTGGAAGAATCTCGTGTTTTAAACCCGAAAATTAATTTGTAATTTAAAGAATTAAAAGAAAAAAAAAATGAAAAAACTCAAATAGGCGCTCCATTGTCGCCAAACAGTGGAGAAGGTGGAGGAGTGGCGCTGGTGATCAATGGGGATTCTCTTGGATTTGCTCTCACTGATCGTTTAGCTGCCACTTTTTTGGAAATCGCTTGTAAATGTCAGGTAACATCATTCTAATTCATCATTCTTTGCTAAAATGTGTCAACTTTTGAAAACTCTTGTCTCTAATTTTTACCACAAGCTATCTACTCTTAGTCCTTCTCTTTCTTCCTCTCCCCCCCCGTATATTTCCTTTTTCTTTTCTGGCTAGAAGATATCGGATAACTCAATGGTTAAAGCACTTGCCCGGAAGGTCGAGATCGAGCTCCGAAGTTGAGGGTTCAATCCGGAGATAGCTTGCGGGTTCAACCCGGAGGTAGCTTGAGGGTTCAACCCGGGGACAGCTTGAGGGTTCAATCCGGAGATAGCTTGAGGGTTCAATCCGGAGACAGCTTGAGGGTTCAATCCTGTCTCCGGAATTTCTTTCTTTACTATTCTGTGAGGATTTGTGAAGGACATTAAAAGATTGATTGAAATTAGTAGATTGAAAGAAATAAAAAGTCGATTGATTAGATAAGAAAAAGACGAGATTACAGTGTTTTCAAAAGTTGATACGTTTAAGTTTAAAAAGCACATCGTTGTCTTTCAGGCAGTGATCTGTTGCCGGGTGACTCCGCTTCAAAAAGCTCAAGTGGTTGATTTGGTTAAAAGAAACAAAAAAGCGGTAACCCTATCAATCGGTGATGGAGCGAATGATGTGTCGATGATTAAAACAGCTCATATTGGAGTCGGGATCTCTGGTTTGTATCAATTTGTAACAGTACCATTCCTTGTTTCCAGGACAAGAAGGAATGCAAGCCGTGTTGGCCTCTGATTACTCAATTGGACAATTCAAATATTTGGAGCGTTTACTTTTGGTGCACGGACGGTAAAGAAAAAGTCAAATAAGTCAAATAATTCATTTTTTAGATGGTCTTATATCAGAATGTGCAAATTCTTGAGCTATTTCTTTTATAAGAATTTTCTTTCACTCTCACTCATTTCTGGTATTCGTTCTTTTGCGGATATTCTGCACAGGTAAGGGTTTTTTTTCTTTCTTTCTTTCTTTTTCAAGAAAATATGAATCATTGATAATAATTTTCAGACGGTTTTCGATGCAATCCTCATTGCTTGTTACAATCTTTTTTTCACTGCATTACCCGTTTTGGCGATGGGAGCTTTGGATCAAGATGTGGATGCGGATACGAGTTTGAGGTGGATTTTTATTGAACAATCATCACTAATTTTTCTGCAATCATCACTAATTTTTAGATTTCCAAAACTTTACCTACCCGGTCAATACAATTTATTCTTTAATATGAGAATATTCATCTATTCGGTGCTACAAGGAATGATCAGGTGAGAGAAAAAAAAGCCAACAAACATATGAGCTGGGGCATTTTTTTTTGTCATTAACTGTAGTTCTATGGCAAATTAAACAGGAAATTTCAGCTCTTTGGTGATCTTCTTCGTTCCATACGGTACATTCATTGAGGCGATTGATCCAAATGGGAGAGATCTCAACGATTATCCCGCACTAGCGTTCACCGCTTTCACAGCTCTTTTCATCGTTGTCACTATACAGGTAAATCAAGCTAATCCGAGCAGGGATATTTCCGGAATTTTTAAGTCAGACAAGTCAGCGTCAGGTTCTGATCTGACTTTGCTTTGCTCAGGCTGGTCTAGTTTACCAGGGTAGAGGGTAGCCTTACTGTTTACAAACTCTCAAGGCTAATCAGGAGATCAGAAGGTCAGAAGATCAGAAGGTCAGAAGATCAGAAAATCAGAAGAGGTTTAGCCTGCCAGTTTCTGATTTAGTATTTTATCTGACTCCGATCTGGCTTAAAATTACCATTAGAGATCAGTTAAAACACTCTGCTCCCAAGCAGGTTTCGATATCGAAACTATCAACATGATTTCCACTTTCTAGATTTGTCTTGATACCTACTATTGGACAGCCATCACTCACATCGTCCTCTGGGGATCGATTTTCTTCTATTTCGCGCTCTGTTTCATCTTTTACGAAGGTAGTCTTTACTTTTAAAGCACCACGAAAATTTCCCGCACCCAAAAACTGCTCTTTTTTCATTAAAGCAGCCTATCGTGTCAGCTATATTAGTAAGTTTTTTTTTTTGTGTGGAAAATCTAAGAAAGCTAAGAATTAGATGCATAAGAAAAATTCATTCAAACATTTTCCCTCTTTTTGTGTGAATTCACTCAGAGTTTGGTTGTGAAATTCACTCACACAATGGCATGCTTTTAGTTTGAATTTTAGTTTTAGTTGAATTTAAATTGAAATTTAAACCTTAATCTCAATTGGCTAAAGAATTCAGGTGGTCTAATAAACTCCCTTCAAGATGTACTTTGTGAGTGATCAGTGAAAAAAAGAACGATTGTTGAGAACTTCTTGAACTAATTAAAGCTCTCTCTCTCTCAAAATACATCTTTTTGTTTTGCATTGTGTTGTTTAGTGACCGTGAAATCCGTTCTCACCTCTCACATAATCCGTTTTCTAAAACGTGTCCATTTTCGAAAAGCCACAGTAATCTTGGCTCTTAATTTTGGCTGAGATCTAACTGCACAAAGTTAGATCTCAGTTTCGTTTGGAAACACCAGGGTTGTTTCAATCTGGATTCAATTTCAGTCTCTTTAAGAACCCGTCACACGCTCGCTCAACAACCGCTTCGGTGGTCTAGTGGATAGTCTTCTAGACTGCCAAACCTGTCACACTTTTTCCCCCAAGTTCGATCCCACTCTAGCCAAACTTTTTTGCTTTTTTTGCTTGATGCCTTTCCCTTGTGAGGCCTTTAAACCAGGCCAGGGAAAGTGAGGAAAAGTAAGGCCAAAACCAAATCCAGGGACTTTTTTGACTTCAACAAAACTACGGCAACTATGGCAGGACTAGATCTTGCTTAGATTGACCTCACACAGAAAACTGACTTTTGAAACAAACCTGATCAAAAGCTACAAAATCACTTCTACCTTTATCTTCAGTTTTTCCTCGTTTCCGTTGGTTGTGGGAGGATTTGTTCGGCTTCGATTTCCTCCAATATTTAATCGAGATTTTCAATCATCCATGTAAAAATCGCTAAAGATTTCACTTTTTCCTTTTTTTTAAAAATCATTTTTTTTTCAGCACTTTCTCTTGTAAAGCTTTTGTTTTTTCAACACAAGCCACTCACATTTTTAAAATTGAAAAAAAAAAAATTGAAATTTTTGAATAGACTCGAAACTCTCAATTTCTTAAGGAATGCAAATTTCTTTTAAAAAATGAAAATCTTGTAATTGAATTTTAAAATGAAAGAAATAGAGAGAAATAGAGAGTTTAGAGTGATCTCTAATTGATTGCACTGAAATGACTGAAATAATGACTCAAATTTCAGCTCTTCCCTTCTCATTTCTTTCAAAGACAGCCTCAGCCATTTCCTACAATGTCGCTTTTCGGACAATGGCCACCACACAGTTTTGGTTCTCGATCTTGATGGTCGGTTCATTTCAGTCATATACCGAGGGGGTTTTGGCCAGACGGCAAGCGATTACGCGGGTGCACAAAGAGCACCTCGCCAATCTTTTACAGAGATTTTCTATAGTGCAAAATATTCAGCTGTAAATTTGTATCTAGGGTTTTCGAGGTCAGAGAATCGATTGCAGCTATTCATTTTATTGAGTTTACCAATTGGAAAGACTAAAACTCTTTGGCTTTGGCTGGACTCTAATCTGACTTTCAAAAACCATTTTATTGAGCCGATCAATTAAAACTCAAATTTGCTTGGCGCTGCTTCCCCAACATTTAAAAGTAAGAAATGGTTTTTTAAATATTACGGAAAACTAGAACCACAATTACTCGCTTTAAACAGTAATCAGGAAGGATTAAAACAAAAAAAAAGCTGAAGGTAGGGTTAGTTTCAACCTTGAATAATTTCAACCTCGTTCTCACTTAACGGGATAACGAGCATAACGTTTAGAATATAAATTGAGCCAAGTTTGGGGCAAAGGGTGTTTGGACAGGAGTTTGCAACAGGAATGTTGGCCTTGCCCATAAGAGCAAGGCCAACTCGTTGCTTAGCGCTGCTTCCCCAACCCCAAAGGGAAACACCTTGTATCGGGAACGTTTGCCAGCTGAAGAAAGATTGTTCGCGCGCACCAAGAACATTTTCCTTAACAAAAAGGTCCCAGAGATTACTTTTTAGATGTTACAAAAAGATATTTAGCTGTAAATTTGTATCTAGGGTTTTCGAGGTCAGAGAATCGATTGGAGTTATTTATTTTATTGAGTTTACCAATTGGAAAGACTAAAACTCTTTGGCTTTGACTGGACTCTAAGCTGAGTCTTGCTAAAACCATTTTATTGAGTTTTATTTTATACCAAACCAATTAAAACTCGAATTTAATTGATCTAAGCTTTTAGATAAATTCGGAAAATTGGTTCCGAATGTTGGATTCGTTTTCAAAACGAAAAAAAAAAAACCATACTAAATTTGATTTTGTTTTGCTAAAGTAATTGCTTAAGATGAAAAGATCAAATTTCTCTTAAAGCTTTATCAATATTTACATTCGATTTATATACAAAAAGTTGGGGGAAATATTTTTGTGAAAGTTCAAATAACGAAAGAATTTTTTGTTCAAAAAAATTGAGAAATGGAAAAGTGTTTAGATTCGAATTCGATAAACATTTCAAATAAATCGATTTTCAGGGAAATATATATGAAAAGGAAAGAAGATCAAGCATATAGGATCAAGCAATAAGATCAAGCAATAAGATCAACCAATAAGATCAAGCAATAAGAGCATTTAGTTGTTCTTTCCGCCCAATCTTGGCTCATTCTTCTTCCAGGGTTTCACATCAGTGCTTGGCTGGAATTTCTTGAATAAGCTTTTTGAATTATTATCCGTGATTTGTAGAATCAGTAAAACTTCTTAATGATATCTCTACCTGATTATCGGGTCTGATTCCGGCTTGTCCTCCTGTTTTCCCATCAGTGGCTCGTGGATCTCGGCGAATACCGGCAGCACCTAAAATTGCATTGCAAAATAAACATAACAACCCCATAGTATCGTAAAACTTGTAGACAACTATTGAAGTAAAGTAAAGAAATGAATAGCAAAGAATTTTTGGAAATTTAAAGTAAATTTAGTGTTATCAAATTAAACCTTAAATGCAAATTAGAGTGGATAAACTGGAATGGGTAACGAATCCAGATCTGGATCCCAAACGAATGTAGATCTGGATCCCAAGCGAATCCAGATCTGGATCCCAAACGAATCCAGATCTGGATCCCAAACGAATCCAGATCTGGATCTCAAACGAATCCAGATCTGGATCCCAAACGAATCCAGATCTGGATCCCAAACGAATCCAGATCCGTTTGGGATCCAGATCCCAACGAATCCAGATCCGTTACCCATTCCAGTTTATGTTCCAACAACTGTTTATCCTCGATTCCAGATCCCAAAAACTATTTATCCTCGATGTGAGTCCACAAATCACTATCATAATAAAGAAAAGAAATGAATGGCAAAGAATTAACCGAAGGCATTGAACTCTCGACCTTCTGCTTGCCTGGTAGCTTTACCACTGAGCTATCGGCGCCTTCTTTCTCCAAGAAGAAATAGGAAACACAAGGAAGAAAGAGAGGGAAATCAGTAGATAATAACTAGACTATGATTTTGAAATATAAACCTCTAAGTAAATCAGTACTCCAATCTTAGTGAGGTAACTTATATTTTGTTGTAATTTGTAAAGAAATAGTGGCAGTTGTAGTTATCTTTTTGAAAACCTTTGATCAATCACCACCAATCTATCCTTGACTCACCTCCAATCTTATCCTTGGCCACATCAAACTTTTTCTCTTCCGCTTTTGGACGAATTCCGGCTTTTCCTCCAATTTTTCCATGAGTCGCTCGTTTGTCTCGTCGGATTCCAGCAGCACCTGGAAATCTCGTTAATTTCGTTTTATTGAACTTCTAACAACCTCCAATCTTATCCTTGGCCACATCGAATTTCTTCTCTTCCTCTTTTGGACGAATTCCGGCTTTCCCTCCAATTTTGTCTTTTGTTACGTCGAATTCCCGCTTGTCTCGGCGGATGCCAGCAGAGCCTAGAAATTGAAAAATCATTTAGATTTTGGCTTTCAAAACATAAGCTCTACAAGTCCCTTTCCCCGTCTCATCCCAACCTCCAATCTTGGCCTCAGCCTTGTTCGCTTCAACTTTCTCGTGGAGCTTCGGCTCAGCTTTCTTCCATGGCTTCACATCAACGGGTGTTGGCTGAAGATCTCAAAATACTCTAATGAACATTCTATTCACCTCAGGCCGAATCCCGGCTTTTCCTCCAATTTTATCCTTGGCCACATCAAAGTCTCTCTTTTGTCTGCTCGCTGGGTTCACCCCGGCTTCTCCACCGATTTTCTTGTCTTTTCGGAGCTGACTGAGATTTGGCTCATTCTTTTTCCATGGTTTCACATCGAATGGAGTTGGTTCAACCTTGAAATTGGTGATGATAAATGGCTCAAGAATAATTTACTTTAAAGTTTTCTTTTTTTCATTACTCACTGGATCTTTTCGAATCCCGGATTGTCCACCAATCTTTTCAGTTTCTCGTTTGTAACGCTGCTCATCGTTGTCGGCTAAGATTGTTGATTTGAAAAGTGATTGATTCAAAAAGCTTGATTTGAAAGTTCATTGTTTAAAAGCGCTTACGAAGTGTGAATGCAGCAGTTGTCGCCAGTAAGGCAAAGGCGATGATCGAACGCATTGTTGTGCTGAAAGTGAAAGTTTTCATTGAAAGCTTTAGTGAGAAAAGCTGTGAACGGGTAAATAATGAAGTGGGGGGAAATTGGGGCAAAAATCAAAACGGTCAACAGATATCAGTCAAAAGTGATCTTTTCTTTATTGAGTTTAGATTGAAAAGTATCTGAAAGCTTGAGTTGAAAAAGGATTAAAGTTGATTGAGATTGATGCATTTGATCTATTCTAAAGGTGAAAAGAGAGAAATATCAATTGAAATCAATTGAATCAATTGAATCAATTGAAATTGAAATATCAAATATCCAAATATCAATTGAAATATCAGAGTTATCAGAGTTGTATCTAGTTGGATCTAGATCGGAAATGATTTGAGATTTGAAAGCTTTCGATGCATCTTATATAGGGTATCTTTGGCCATTGGTTTACGTGACACCAAAACAAACGTCTGTATTTTTGGGGGAGAGGAGGTGATTGTCCCGCCCCAATCATTCCCCACAGCTCTGGATCTCTCACAGAAAGAAGAACAGGACGGAGAAAGTGTGGAAAAAAACAAAGAGACTCTTTTCTTTTCTTTTCAATCAATCAATCGGAAAAGCTCTCTTCTCCATCCATTTCCGTCTCTTTTTCCTCTCAATGACTCATCCGTTTGATCTCGATGGATCACAAAACGTATTTTGTGATCACAACAAATATTCCTTCATGACAATGCACATTAAGTCAATTAGAAATCAAATCTATTTTCCTAGTGTCAGTTTAGAAAAAAGTTGACTCAATTTTTGTTTAGAATGAGTCAATGAGCACTCTTTGATTTTCATTTGAGATTTCAATTGAAGAATTGAAGAATTGAAGAATTGAAGAGTTGAAGAATTGAAGAAGGGAAGAATTGAAGAATTGAAGGATTGAAGAATTGAAGAAGGGAAGAATTGAAGAATTGAAGGATTGAAGAATTGAAGAATTGAAGAGTTGAAGAATTGAAGGATTGAAGAATTGAAGGATTGAAGAATTAAAGAATTAAAGAATTGAAGAATTGAAGAATTGAAGAACTACGATCAATTATAGCAAATGTTTAGGTTAACAAATGATTTCTTGAAATCAGAGAGTCAGCTAAGAGGATGGCAGACAAGATTTCTTGGTCGTGAGAGAATCCGAACCAGCCAGCAAAAGTTCTGTGGAAATTTGATGAGCTCCCAATTTTCGCTCTCCCAATTTTCGTGTTTTCACGAACATCTCTATCTTTCTTGTCACAACGTGTTTTCACACGCGCTTAATGGACTCATTGGCTTGATTTTAAAACTGGATTTTACTTAGAGTTTTGCGTAAAATCCGTGATGATGGATTACTGAAGCTTTAGACGATGATATAGGCTTATTTTTTAAACAGTTCAACCCATAGCAATAGCTCGATTTTCTCAATAGCTCGATTTTCTACAGCTGCCGGATTCAAAGTCAGAGATCAAGCTCTCACTAGCCTCACTGAAGTGAGAGATCAAGCTCTCACTAGATCAAGCTCTCACTAGATCAAGCTCTCACTAGATCAAGCTCTCACTAGATCAAGCTCTCACTAGATCAAGCTCTCACTAGATCAAGCTCTCACTAGATCAAGCTCTCACTAGATCAAGCTCTCACTAGATCAAGCTCTCACTAGCCGATCAGTGGAGAGTTTTTGCGCTGATCCCGATGACTTGTCCATTCTGCTCATTTTCTCTGTTGGATCATTGGTCGATCAGAATTTGATACAAACAAATCGGTAGGAAATGTGGGTTCATTTGGGGTCATTTGGGGCTTATTTGGGGTCATTTGGGGTTTTTTTTTGGGAGAATCTAAAAAGCCGAAAAAAACTCTTCGACCATCTGTTTTTGATCACCGTTTTCCTTTACACTAAACGAAAAGAAATGACCAGTCGAAATGGAGCAATGAATGAAATTGAAGCAATGAATGAAATGAATGAAAGCAATGCAATGAATGAAATTTGACTCAAGACTCAAGACTCTAGTTTGATCAACTTTTAACCAACGAGCAAACATTATTTTATTATTAGCAAACAGCAAACATATTTTAAATCCTAAAATGCAATTATTTTAAATCATCACAAAGTATTTTATAACTATAAAGAAAACAAAAACAAGAAAACAAAAATTTTACTTTAAATTTGGAAATATTTTATATGACACATATCAAAAAATATTCTGAAATCGTTAAATTGTTGTTTGAGAGAGGAAAAGATCAAAGAAAAGATCAATTTGAACATCAAGACATTTGATTGTATGTACTCTTGTCAAACAAATATTGTGAACAGGGCTTAGCATTCTTTTGAAATCACTTAACAGCAGAGGTCAACAAGATCAAATTGTAAAGAGATTTGAGAGAAAATTTGGATATGCAGTCATTAAAATCTCAAATCTCATTGTAGATTTGTTGTTGAAATCGTTGCTGATCATTTCTCTAAAATATAGTTAACAAAAGTTCGAAAATTTCGAAAAAAATGACCAAGTTGCACAATTGATTAATTGTGCAACTTGTGCTAAACTTTGCCATTTTTTTTTTCAGGTTTGTGTGATTCTATTGATGCCTGTGATTGTTGTACGATTCTTTTGGCAAGATGTTCATCCAACTTTTGCTGATCGATTGAGAATACGAAACAAGATGAGACCACAAAGTCCACGAAAAAGAAAAGAGGATTTGGAAAGGGAAAGGTTTGAGTTAAACATTGTTTAGATCAAAAGAAAGATTTGATTTGCTTTAATTTCTAAAAGTATTATGTAATTACCGTAAATACTGTAATAGTATCCCACCCACATAATGACGGTGCGGAGTGTTGCGTAATCTAGCTTTGAACGAGTTTTTCTCGACACTGGTTTATGCTATTAGGTCCTTGCAAAAGAAACTGCGGATTATAACCAACAATTGAACACCCAAAAATCAATAAGAAACTACCTTTATTCCAAAAGATATTTGCCATTATTATCAACTATGTTTTTACATTTTTTTGTGTAGACTTCGTCTGAAAGCCATAATGAAAAGCGGAATCATACGCGTCAAAACCCATACCGTAAATACTGTAAGCTGTCAGACAATGTCAATGTCAATGTCAATCTATAAGCTGTCAGACAATGTCAATGTCAATGTCAATGTTTAAATGTCAATGTCAATGTCAGCCAGCTGTTTCTTATCATTGTTTCGAGCTCGAATTACCATAGCATTTTTATATAAAAGCCCTATACATCTTGCTGATTATTGATACAGATTCGTCTGAAAGCCATAATGAAAAGCGGAATCATACGCGTGAAAACCCATACCGTAAATACTGTAATAGTACCCCAACCCCATTAATGACGGTGTGGAGTGTTGCGTAGTCTAGCTTTGAACGAGTTTTTCTCGACACTGGTTTATGCTACAATGCGCGCTTAGGTATCAAAAAATAACCCTGAATTTCAGCTATTTTTTTGATACCAAAGACGCATTTTTTCAAAGTACTGACGCTTTGAAAAAAATGAAATACTAAAAAACTTTTGCAACTACGTGACTGTACGAGGGGAGGTGGGGAACTATTACAGTATTTACGGTAATTCCTTTATTAGCAATTACTTACTCGCGTCGATCAAAACACTAAAGAAAGACATTGAATTTATAAACTTTATATCATTTCAGAGCAACTCTTCGCCGTACTCGACCAACAACAACTCGACGATCAATGCGCGAATCAATTCGATCTGGTTATGCTTTCTCTCATTCACAAGGATTTGGAGATCTCATTGTTAAAGGAAAACTCTTCAAAAATGTTGAAAATATGCGCTCGTGAGTTTTTGCTAATATTTATTTGAAAGTTATTAACTTTAAAACAATAAAAAAAACACTTTTAACCTTAAATGGAAACAAGAGTACAATTGTTTCAAATGGTTGCTCTGTTTTAAGAGCTTTATACTTTAAAATTGTAGAAAATCACCTCGTCCTGCTCCAACTACATCATCTGGTATGGCTTCAACGGTTGATCGAGAAATCATTCATCACGATCCAATGCTTTCACCGATCGAAGAGGTGCAAACTCCTCGCCCGGATGATCATCAACAAATTCAAATTCCGATGATGACCGCTGTGCCCATCAAAGAGACCACTTTCCCTGTAACGAAGAGAAGAGTTCGTTTTTATTATCTAACTCTTTTTAATATTCTTTTTTTTTCAGGAAAGTATTCCTTTTGTGCCTCCAATTCCTCCAGGACATCACAGTCTTTTGGTGAACACGGACACGATTCACGCTGGATCTTCGTATCCGGGAATGGTTCGTGAAAAGATTGTGGAGGATTTGTAGCCTAAAAGATTCTTTTGTATATTCTAGCATGACTGTTTTACATTTAACATAACATAAATTGTCTAAAAATAACAAAAAAATGTAGCTTTACGGTTACGGTAGCTTTTACAAAGCTAATAACCCACTAGTTAATAATAAGCACTTTTGTTGAGTAGTTAATAATAAGTTACTAGTTAATAATAAGTTAATAGTAAATAATAAGTTATTAGTTAATAATAAGTTACTAGTTAATAATAAGTTAATACCTACTAGTTAATACTGAATACCGTAATCCAGGGCGTTTAGACCGCATCCTGTATTCTAGACTGAATATCTTAAACTAGTTTAAATACCGTAATCTAGCTAATCTGGACTGAATATCCGATTCTAGACTGAATACCGCAATCCAGGCCGTTTAGACTGAATACTATAATCTAGACTGAATACCCTAATCTGGTATAAATAGGCTAATCTAGAATAAATAAGGTAATCTAGCTAATCTAAACTGAATATCTTATTTTAGACTGAATACCGCAATTGTCTATAAGCAAATTGTCTATTTACTTTAGTGTACAGTTGAGCTTGTGATAGCATTTCAATAACAGGTATTCAGTTGATCCAAATTTCAGGTATCAGCTCGTGATGAACCCTCCCCACAACAAGGGATTCGAATATCAGGCGATGGCCGACCAATGACCACCTCCAATCAACAATCACTACCTCGGAAACCGCAAACCGGTGCTGGGAAGAGAAAAGAAACACAGGTATAAAATGCTTGTGTTATTTCCCCTCCAATAATCCCCTCGTGCTTCTCTATTTTTAGATTAATTCTCGCCGCATTCTGTGTGCATTTACCCGTGTGCTTTCTTTTTATTTTCATCTATCATCTAGAATATTTTCTTTTTCCATTTACTGTCACTAATTTATCTGTGTGTTTTCGACCCTTCGTTGTGTCTAGTAAGTGGTCAAGGTATCAAGGTAGAAAAGTTAAGAGTCAGATTTATAAAGACTGAAACAAGCAATACAGTAGATTAGGATTAGAAAGAGTTAAGCCGACTTCCAAAATAGATTAGGCCTTTATTGCTGACCTAGCTGACTCTAGTTTAACAATGGAGTCCGAAATCATGCCGAAATCATGCCAACTTAGACTTTGACCTAGTTTACTTTTAGTGCTTTGGATTAGAGCGTGAATCTTCTCGATAATTCTTTTTTAAAAAAACCGCTGAAGAGTTGGAAAATGTTGTACGGCACTGAACGTAACAATTTTCTTGGCAAAGCAATACTTTTAACCAATCAACCACTTTTTCGGGATAGTAAATCAATAAAAATGAGATAGTAAGGGTAATACTCCTTTCGACCGAGATACACTACTGGACAATGAAATATCATAATTGAAAAAAGATCGTCACTTTCGCGCCTCTGTAACTTCCTTGTCTTTACCGTATTTCCAAATATTAATATTACGATTGTGTAGCCCTTGAAAAGAGCTTTCAGAAAATGTATAACACTAATAGTTTAAACTCAAAGACAAGGAAGTTACCGACGCGCGAAAGTGACGATCGTTTTTCAAATATCATATTTCATTGTCCAGTACTGTAGGTCAAGGTTTGTTACTAGATTTTTCAGGCCAAGCCAAGCCAAAGCCAAAGCCAAAGCCAAGGTTTTAGAACCAAATGCAACAGTGAGGTTGAAATTCCAGCCCAAGGTCGATTGGCTTTGGCTTTGGCTTTGGCTTGGCTTGGCTTAGCTTGGCCTTTGGCTTTTTGGAACAGCTTTGTTTGGGGAAGGCTTACTTTTTGGAACAGCTTCTCAACTGTTTTGTGGTGTCTTTTACTTTCCTTTTTTTGTTTCTTTACAACCTCAAGCAAACAATCAATTCAAGGATGACATCATCGTCGAACGATTCTAGAAAAGAAAAAAAAGAACCTCGATCACTTTAAAACAATAATTTCTTCAATAATTTTCTCTTCGAACTTTTCCTTACACATATCGTCACTCAAATTAATAAACGGGTATTTTTTTGATGTAAAATTCTTAAGTATAAGCTTTTAGATATTACCGATTTTATCTAGTTTTAAAAAATGATTTTAATAAGTCTTTTTGTGTTCATTTTAATTTACTAGTTTAATTACCTAACTTTTCTTGTGCCATATCAAATCTATTTCTAATTTTAGATACCGTATTCTCTCTAATAGTAGTGCGCCCGGGCGAGCCGAGTTGATGACTATTTTACGGCTTTCCAAGTTTTCCCAGAAGCTCAACACTCAAATCCCCCACTAGATCTCATCGTCAGCTACATTTTCCGACCCCATATCGATAGGTTCTGATAAGCGGTTCTCGAGATTTCGAGCAATCTAGGCGACGCTCAGAGTGCACTATTGGGAAAATGCGATAACAGCTTGAGTTACCATAAATCAAATCTGGATTGTTGGCCGGGATCCAGGCTATAAGCTTTCCAAGCTTTCCAAGCTTTCCCAGAAGCTCAACACTCAAATCCCCACTAGATCTCATCGTCAGCTACATTTTCCGACCCCATATCGATAGGTTCTGATAAGCGGTTCTCGAGATTTCCAGCAATCTAGGCAACGCTCAGGGTGCACTACTATTAGAGAAAATACGGTATACAATTTCTTTTTATTTCTTTGTGCTCATTGTGATAGCTTTGAACCGGTGTTTATTATTATTTTTTTTTGTTTTTTTATTTTTTTACAATCAAATGTATACAAACGAAATTTCTATTTCCTACATAAAGAGAATCAATTAAAATCATGAAAAAACACGAAAAAATGATATTTTTTCGAATACAGAACATTTCATTCAAAGAAACAAGGTTAATCAATATTCTTTTGATGACAAGAAATACACAAATTGCATTTAAAATCGCAAGATTCAATTATCTAGGCTTTTTTTAAAGTAAACCACAGCCATAGGCACCGATTCTAGGCTTTCATTCACCTAAATTCTTGAGAATTTTTCTTGTTTTAACTATGAAAAGTATAGAATAACCAAAAAAAGTCAAAAGAACTGACTAGTGAATGGAAAATCGAATCGAGTCTTCTAATAACCACTTCCCATTCTCGAATCTCAAGCAAAAGATGATGATCCCAAGATGGTGATCCCAAGATGATGATCCCAAGCAAAAAACCTAGGCGTCTATCCATTCGGATCCAAGCGTCCTCGACAACGGCTAGTCGCTGCTTCGCAATTTTTGGATTTGATACTAGAATTCGAATCTAGTCAGAATTTTTTCGGATTTGAAACTCTCACATCCAGAAAAGAGTAGATTCTAGTAGTGGTAAAGGTTGAAATGCAATAAATTCAAAAACATTCGAGTTTCTTTTATAGAGCACATGAAATGTCAGTATTCTTTTAAGAGTCAGTATTCTTATTCTTTTAGTCTTTTTCAAACCAATTTAATAGTAAACCCTAGGGAATTTAAAGCTCAAAAAAGCCCTATTTTTTCTCTACAAAACACCTTTTAAGCCAAACGGGAAAGCTTTTATTTTCACATTTTTTTCAAATGATCGAACTTAAGCAGTGAAAAATCAGCTAATGGAGAGTTCATTGATTTAGATTTAAATTAAATTATAGTTAGAATTATGATTAGAATTATGATTAGAATTATGATTACAATTATGATTAGAATTATAATTAGAATTATAATTAGAATTATGATTAGAATTATGATTTAAAGATTTCCATCCAACAAATCTACTTTGGTATTTAAATCAAAAACGTAGAGAATTTTTAATTACGTCTATAAACAAATTCATCCTTATCAAATTTCGGTCGGTTCTCATCTCCATCATCTTTCCATTTATCATTCTTTTGCGAACCGTATTAGTAGGGTTTGGAATAAGCTCCCGTCTGGTATCTTCTCGTCTGTAGGAAAATTGAAAGTATCTGTGAACGAATTAGATCTTATTACCATGTCAAATCTGCCCTATATTTAATCTTTTTGTATCTGTGTTTCCTAACTGTACTCTTACTGTATTATCTTTAGTTTTCTCTCTTTTTTTCGGTGAGAGTATTGTAGCAATATGTTATATGCAGTTATGATTATCTGATTCGCTTCTATTCGCCCCATGAATAAAGCATATATATGTATATTAGAATTATGATTTAAAGATTTCCATCCAACAAATCTACTTTGGTGTTTAAATCAAAAATGTTGAGAATTTTTAATTACGTCTATAAACAAATTTTCAAATCAATCTGTTCAATCGTTTTCTCTGAATGACGTTTTATTGGGTTTTTAAATGAATAAATGAACGGTTTTAAGTGAACATGAATAAATGTTTAGAAAACTTGCCGAGAATTCACCTGTCTCATGGGAAATCATTTGTTGTGTCATATTTCGGGTGTAATCGTTCTTCCATTTACCTTTGCTTTCTGTTGAAATTGAAGTAGAATCGAAAAAAAGGAATACAAGAAAACAAAATCGCATTAGTTCTCATTGTGTTTTCCCCATAAATTTGCAAGTTTACAAATCTAGGTTTTAGTTCATTCGGACGTTTAGGGTTGTTTATGGATCAATGTAACATCTAATAACTTACCGTAAATACTGTAATAGTACCCCACCCCCACCCCCTCGTACAGTTGCGTAGTTGCAAAAGTTTTTTAGTATTCCATTTTTTTTCAAAGCACCCGTACTTTCTTTGGTATCAAAAAATAGCTGAAATTCAGGGCTATTTTTTGATACCTAAACGCGCATTGTAGTATAAACCAGTGTCGAGAAAGACTCGTTCAAAGCTAGACTACGCAACACTCCGCACCGTCATTATGGGGCTGGGGTACTATTACAGTATTTACGGTATGGGTTTTCGCGAGTATGATTCCGCTTTTCATTATGGCTTCCAGACGAATCTGTATCAATAATCAACAAGATGTACAAGGCTTTTATATAAAAATGCTATGGTAATTCGAGCTCGAAACAATGATAAGAAACAGCTGGCTGACATTGACATTGACATTTAAACATTGACATTGACATTATATATATATATATATTCATACTTTATTCAGGACATGAAATAAAGCGTAATCAGTCAGACAATACACAAATCTACACATAAATACATAGAGAAAGATGAGATATTTTACTCGGCGATGTGGAGGCGGGGAGAAAAGAAGATAGATAGAAGATAGGCTTCTTGCTTTAATAACCTCAAGCCATGAATGGGCCAACCCAGTGGAAGAGTGAACTCCGCTAGAGAAGGGATCTCTAGTCAGCTCTAGAGAAGAGACCTCTAGTCTGGGCGCACGGGCTAGACATTGTCTGACATTGACATTGTCTGACAGCTTATAGATTTTAAAAAGCTTGAAAAAGTCTAAAACATTCGTTTTTTTATTCACTCATTAAGCTGAAAAGATCTTTTGCTTCTTTTTCTTTTTCAATAGAATTGCAATTTGTGTGCAGAATTTGGAAGTGAAAAAGATGAGATCAGAATTTGAATATTGAGTTCTTCCAATTTCTTGCCTGAGAAATCCGCCGAATGGGGAAATCCGCGTGGGATTCGAGAGATATTCAACGAAATAAAAAAAAGGGAATAAAGAACGAAATAAAAAAGGGAATAAAGAAGCCATTTCCCTAACTTTCTTTTCTCATTTCTCACTTGTTTAAGTGTTTTTTTTTTTTGCTTTAAGAAACTTTATTCATTCATTGTATCTTGAATTTTACAAACTTTATATGTTCTGGAGATGAATCTTTAAAAAGATGCAAAGATTCTCCAATAGTTTAGTCAATCAAAGAAATCTGGATTGTTAT